TTTCAGTGAAAGGAGTGATTAATGAAAACCCAATCAAGTGACATTTCCAGAAAGCAGGCAAGGGGACACAGAATAGAGTGAAAGGGCAAGAGAAGATGGGTAGTTCAAGCTAGCCATTCCATGTGCCATCTGTAGAAGGAAGACTTGGAGTTAGGGTCTTCTCAGGGGAAGGAAAATGAACCCACAGGTCATAGCTGGCAGAGGAGCCATTTGGAATAGTGGAGGAAAACACCAGAGGCTACGTATCTACAGATTAGTGAACACTACAGTTCGGGTAATTCATCAAGGACAGGTGAAGCCCTACATTTGTTCCCATCACTTTAGGAAGCCACCTGAAGGTATAAGAGACAATTATTGTATGACTGATCCCTTTGACTGCTGATGACAAAAAGGATGCTGAAGACTCAGGAACTGAATGGATGGAGACTGAGCATGAATGGAGTGAGGGCTTAGAAGACAAGGATCAGGAGGCTCTGATGAAGGTACAGAGGCCTTCCACTGTAGGGAGTCTTGTGATGTTTAATTTGTGTACCCCAATAAAGTTTATCTGGGGAATCAGAAGAAAAAGCCAACCACTATATTAAACATAGAAGTCAGGCAATGGTAGCACACACCTTTAATCCTAGCATTCAGGAGGCAGAGATTCATCTGGATCTCTGTGAGTTCAAGGCCACACTAGGAACACAGCCAGGTATGGTGGCTCATGCTTTTAATCCCAGCACTAGTTAACCATAGAGGTCAGGAGGTCTGTACAGACAGACAGGAAATGACAGAAAGAGGAAGTGATATAGCTGGGTGGAGAGAGGAAGTAAGATGGCAGGGCACAGACAGGTATATAAGGTGTGAGTATACAGGAAGTAGCTCTCTCTTGGGCTGAGGATTTCCTAGAGGTAAGAACTTGTGGCTGGCTTGTTCTATCACTCTGATCTTTCAGCTTTCACCCCAATATCTGGCTCTGGGTTGTTGTTTTTTTAATAATACGGTTTAGCAATTCATGTTACAAGAGAGAACAGATCAATCATCATGGCTTGAGATATAACTTCAGGAGTCATATGTTGAAGATGGTATAGGATACCATCTTACAAATACAGATAAAAAAAAGCACAGATGATCTCCAGAAGCCCTGGAGTCTCTGGCATGAGAGTCTACCAGAGAGTGAAGACTGAGCACAGTGACCAAAGGGACTGAGATCACTGATATAGGGGCGACCCAAAGAGCAGGATGTCTCGAAGCTTGAGGGAAGAGTGGGCATCCCCAGAGGGTCAGCCCCACTAAGTACTGATGAGAGATCATGTGCTATGAGGACTGAGGAGGAGCCAGAGCTTTCAATAAGATGATGGGCTTGAAAAAGCCATTGGATAAAATGCAAGGATAAAATCTTCATGGTGTAGACTGAAGGGAAAGTGCAGTCTAGAACCGGACACAGTGAAATTGCAACATGAAGGTACAGTGTGAGACATAGAAATGGTGGCCTGGTGAAGGACACAGAGTCAAGACAAAGGCTCTACTTTTAGAGGAAGCCTTGTCTACAAAGAAGGAGAAAGCAGTGAGGAAGAAAAGGGGGCATGTAGAGGAGAGGTCTTGGAAGAGCAGAAAGAAGATCTGGTGCAGATGGATTCAGTTCAGTCCTTCTTCCCTGAAACAAGTCACCCCAGCAGTGGGTGAGTGTTTGTTAGAGGGGAAAACAAGGTCACTTGCAATGAAAAACCACTTTTCTCTCTGATCTGTGAGACGGGGCCATGATCTGGGGGTACAAGGAAGATATAGGAAGGTATAACATTTGAAAGTGTCATCAGAGAACAAGAGTGACTTGGGATCATATGGAGGTTCTGAGCCCTCCCTTTAGGTTTGTTATGGCTTTAACAAGAGTTCAGTTTACATGGCCAGATGACTTATCCCCAGGGATGTGACAAAGGATTGGGCTAATCAAGTTTCAGAAACAAAAGGAGGCGAGGGAATTGAGGATTATTCCAAAGACTAAGGCTGGGGTGGCAGAAGTGTGTCAGGGGGTGGCCACTCTGGTACAGGGATGGTGGGGGACTCTGTGAGGTGAAGGCAGTGCTGGAGAACATCAGGAATTGGCACCACAGACTGGGATCCTGCAACACCAAGGCAAGGAAGCCATCAGAACACTGATAGTTTATCAAAGAGTCTAAATATAAAAGGGATAGTGGTGGTGATTTATTTCTGTGATAATGCCAAGCCTGGGGACCTGGGATCCATCCCAGGACCCACACAGCAGAAGTAGAGAACTAACTTCAGCAAGTTGTCCTCTTGGCACTGTGGCACAGGAGTATACACACACACACACACACACACACACACACACACACACACACACACACACCTGTGAATAAATAAACATTAAAATGTTTAAAAGACATAGAAAACTATACCTTTGACTTGAGAGCCTCCTTCAAGGTCACAGAGTGGGAAGTTGAACACTATGTTGAGAGAAGCAGATTATGGATGTGCCTAGATACCACTGGAAACAGTGGGGACACAGAGAACCTCTGGTCCAGGAAGCCAGAGGAGCACCAGATCTTGGAGTTTTGGTGAGGCTACACCAGGAAACACCATAGAAAGTCCTCAGTAGACGGACAGTCCTTCTCCTGCTCTACCGATGGCAGAAAGCATTTACTCAAAAGAAACACTGGTAAGGCTATGGGAAAGGGAAGACTCTTACATTGTTGATGGGAACATAAACTGGTAAAGCCAATACGCAAGTCAGAATGGAGGCCCTTCAGAAAACTAAAAATAGATCCACTGTATGATCTGGTTATTCCATTTCTGGGAAAATACCCAGAGGAATCTGAGGCATAGGGATAACTATTCACCTTATTTATTAAGCAGTGGTCACAATCACCAAGTTATGGAACCAGCCAAGGTGTCTACCCACAATGAATGGAGAAGAAGATATTGTTTGTATATACTCAATGGACTTTTATTCAGCAATAAAGAGTGAAACTAAGTTGGAAATGTAAGCAACTGGAGAGCATCACGCTAAATGACATAAGCCATACTCAGGAAGGCAAGCGCATTTTTTTTTTTTTTGCATTTGTGAAACCTGGGTTACACACACCTGTGCACGCACACATAATATGAGCATGAGACGAAAATAAAAGTAGGATAATCTAAGGGAAAGAGGGGGATGTGCAGGAGAGGGAGCAGGACAGGATGGGAGATGTAAAGGGAAGTTAAGAACATGCTGTACTTGAAAATTTCATGAAGCCACCACTTTGTACAAAACAAACAAACAACAAAACAACTATTCAAAGATTTAAAAAAACAAAAATAAGGGGAGCCTCTTGGCCTCTGGCAAACTTCCAACTATTAGGTAGCTGAATGGATTTGCTTACTAGTCACCGCGGGTCATCCAAGAGCCTTGGGCTTGTCAGACAAGACCAACAGATTCTGAACTGGCTGCAGAAAGGAGCCAGGGGGAGCCTTGGGGCCAAGGCCTGGCCTCCAAAGAGATGGAGGAAGCAGAGCTGGAGGTGGCAGGCTCTAAGTGACAGAGGAAGTGAGGGCCCAAGTGGGAGGGGTAGAGAGCAGAGCACACTGCCGCAGCCCGAATCTGGTGGCCTGTAAGGATGACGAGCATGAGAGGACTAGTTCCCAATCAGTGTGACGTGGGGTAGGATTCATTTAGAGGAAGAGTCATTTTGCAGCCATTAAAAAATAATCAAGGACTTCAGGATTTACTCATTACTTAAGTCTAACCAAGAGCCCCAAGAAGGGACAATCTGCCAAAGTCACTGGCACAAAAGGAAGAAAAAAGTAATCAGCGGGAAATAAAATCTCATGACTTTCAGGTCCTAGGGTCCACCAGATGTTCCTGACAAGAATGGGAAGATCAGTTAGAGATGGGTCCGCAGAAAGTCCATCTTTCCACCCATCCCACCATTGTGTCTCCTTTCCAACGAAGCCCAGCAGTTGGCTTTGCATGTATTGAGCTGGTAACCCATATTTAGCTACGCACTATGAGTAAGAGGCAAATGATTAAGTGAGGGGAACTAGATAAACAAGGCTACTGAGAAAATAAACACCAGAGATAATATTTCAGCCTACAGACAACTTTGTTTGCCAATTTTCATTTAAATATTACGGTATGCTAAAGATTGTGCTGGATCAGAAAGTACCAGAGTACCAGATGACAATTTCCTGATGACAAGCCACATTCAGAAGTTTCTACCATGTATCATTTCTTCTACTTTTCTCTATACACATGAATTTTTAACTCAATCAAAAGAGGATCAATCAGCTTAGGAACTGGAGAAATGACTCAGGGATTAAGAGCACAGGCTGTTTTTCAAAGGACCCAAGTTCAGATCTCAGCATCCACATGGTAGCTCACAACTGTAACTCCACTTCCAGTAGATCTGACACCCTCTTTTGGCCTCCATGGGCATCATAGCATACAGATATACAAGTGGGCAAGACACTCATACATATAAAATAGAATAATAATAACTTTTGAAAAGAATCAGCTTAAAATATATTCCACTATAGTGTGATACAGTGTAATCCCATAATGTATATGCCACAAACATCTCATCTTGGCATAGGCGGCTCCTTCTAATTCTGCAGTGATTTACCCCCTACCTTTTCTTAGAGCGTTCCCATGTGGACAGGCAGTCTAAGCTGCTCAGGGAAAAGTTTCTCAAGTCAAAACTCATTTCTGCATAAGGCCTATAGACAACTGGTGGGCAACCTTATTTTCAGAGTACTGCATTTCCAGAGAGGAAGACAGAATCCAGCATTTTCAAGCACCCGTACCAATCTACAATCCAGGTAACTCTAGTTAAGCTCCAGGGACTCCTTCAGTCTGGGTCTCCCTGCCTTCTTCCTCTGTCATGTGAGACCTTGATGGCCAAGTCAATGCTGACACCTCTAGACTGAAGCTGTGCCATGCCATGCCTCTCCCGGCACAGCTAAGGAAGTGCCGGAAAAGTCCATAGAGTTTTGTTTATTCTGATTCTTTTTCCCTTCCCTCCTAGCAAGTGGCTACATCAGAGCTCTGCTGTTCATTAAAGATCAAGCTGCCAATATGAGTGTGCTCGGATTAGCCCTTCCTGTAACGGCACCAACGCCAGTGTTTGCATTCCTCCCAACTGAAAATTTGTCAGAGAAGAAAGGCATTAAACCTGTCACTGCAGATAAAGATCAGACATCTGATTTCAAACAGAAGAGGCAAGCACCCTACCTCGGGCTCTACTGACTCTGGAGTATACTGTTCGACGTCAAGGGGAGAACTAGACCAGATTGGGATGGGGAAATAAATCCAAGTCTCACCGCCACTTCTGTAGGTACAGAGGATATTGGACTTTGAACAGAAATCCAGAGCAGAGGAGAACAAACAGCAAGCCCTTCTCATCTTCCTCTGAACACGGTTCACAGAATGAGAGCAGCTAGACAAGTCACAACCGTTTGCAGAAAAGCAAAAGCTTGGGAAGATACATTGAGAAAACGTTTGGACACTTAAAAATTTACAGCATCTCCCGATGCCTACATATAACCTTTGGAAGCTGGCACCGTGCTGTGGCTGGGGAGAAGGCGTGGCCTTAAAGGGCTTGCCTCACAAGCATGAGGACCTGAGTTCAGTCCTCAGCACCCATGCTAATAAATAAATAAATAAATAAAACAGGCACAGTGGCACGCTTGTAACCACACCACTGGGGAAGAGGGCAGGCAAGGACAGGAGGGTCTCTGTAACTCAGGAGCCTGGCAGCCTGGCTGATTTTAAACTTCCAGGTCAGTGAGAGACCCTGTCAGGAAAAAAGCAAGATCAGTGGTGCCCAAGCAACAACATCTGAAGGTGTCCTCTGACACCCACATTCATGCACAGATGCAAGTGCACACACAGAGATACGTGTACTGACACCCACACTCATGCACAGATACAAGCGCACACAGAGATACTTGTACTGACACCCACACTCATGCACAGATGCAAGCGCACACAGAGATATGTGTACTGACACCCACACTCATGCACAGATGCAAGCGCACACACAGATATGTGTACTTACACCCACACTCATGCACAGATACAAGCGCACATACAGAGATACGTGTACTGACACCCACACTCATGCACAGATACAAGCACACACAGAGATATGTGTACTGACACCCACACTCATGCACAGATACAAGTGCACACACACAGATACATGTACTTACACCCACACTCATGCACAGATACAAGCACACACACAGAGATACGTGTACTTACACATAAAAGGAGCTAGCTCCACACTGATAAATAAAATGGAGACTGTCAAAAACCTTCCTCCTGCTGTCAGAGCCCTCTCCCGTGATACGAGGCCAGCGTGTTCCCCTAATCGTTGAATAATATACAAGTAGCTGGTCTTGACCTGAACCTTGAATTTATGTGGCAGTTTTTTCCAAGGGGTTTGATCACTGAGAAGATTAATATTCATAATATTTCAATGACATGTTAGATGGCAGATACTATTATCCCCATTTTATGGATTCAGACACTGGGGCAGGGAGAGGTTAAGCAGCATGCTGGATATCACAGGGATTTAATTTTAAGCTCTCAAATTTAGTACACTTTTTATGATGTTATTTCTGAAGGGAAGTGTGAGGTGGTAGAGCAGAAGTCAGGAATCAGGGCTGCAGCCTCGGCTCCCAGACTGACTCATCATACAGCCTTCGTTCGGCAAGTCATTTAACCTCTCACGGCTATGCCTCCACATTAGGTAAAATTGACAATTCTTGCCCACCATCCACACCCTGCTGTGAGGATTAATGAAATGAGACCTGGGCTGTAAGCCTGTTGGTAGAAAGGCTCTCTATAAATACGAAATATGCTAAGTGCCTTCTCAGAGGTTCTGCAGGATTGCACAGCCCTCAGGAGACATAGGAGCAATGTTGTGCATTTGAATAGGCTTGTCCCTAAGTGTCCCCAAGGAGTGTCCCTAGGGCCAGAGAGGCAGAGCATGATCATAGCCTCTGCTCCACCCTTTACCAGGAGACGTCCAGGTTGCAAAAAGACCTATGGCTGTGGGGATAGTGTGGTCACTTTGTAGACTGGAAAGGGCACATCCGTGGGACCCAGCCGGCAATGGTGCTGCATTCCGAGGCCAGCCTGGAGGGTGGCTTTTGGAAATTCCACTGAGACTTTGTGGGTCTAGAAGACCCAGTTGGTATTCTAAAGATGGATTTGGAACTGCTTTGCACATAGAGGAATGCTTGGAGGACTCTTGTCACTGGGCAGCATCCCAGAGTCCATCAGAGAGGCCCAAAGTCTCAGAGCCCATAGGAGCAGGAGGGGCTAGTGGGCAGAATCTTCACACTTGAGGTAGAAAAAAGGGACTGGAACTTAATAAGCAACACCACAGGCCTTTTAACCTTTGATTTGAAAAAAAAAAAAATGATGGAGGTAACATCTCTTTTCTGTCCCTACCATTCCACGGCATTCTTTGCAGACAGTGTATGATAACTCAAGTCCACACCTTTATCCCAGAACCTCTTAGACTCCAAGCTCACACATGCAACTCTCAGTCAGCACCTCCTCTGGGTGTTGAAGAGATGTCTCTGATGCAGCTAGTCCAGCACTTCTGACCCAAGCGCAGAACCTTCCCTGTGGACCCTGCTCCCCACAGCCTTTTATGTCTCCATGGAGCACCTCCATCTTTCTAGGGATTCACATTTGGAACATTGGACTTCTTCCTGTCTTGGGCCCCACGTAACCTAGGAAACACTCCAGGCCATATGTGCACAGCTTGTCAGGACCTTCTCCCACCATTTCCACAGCTATTGCCTTCCCCTGACCCACCCAACTTTCCCACAGCCTTTGACTGCCAACTGATCTCTCTCTCTCTCTCTCTCTCTCTCTCTCTCTCTGGAAAACCCGTCTGCAACCCAGCACACACTCATTTTAAGACAAGGTGATGTCCCCCTTTGTCCCCAAGGCCTGCATGTCCTCCCTTCTTCATTTGAACTTGAAGCTTATGCATAACAAGGCAGATCACTTTCGGGGGTGCTAGGGATCGAGTCTTCAGGGTTTAAACTTCACCAAACTCAACTCAGCTACAGCATTGGCCATGCTGTGTCACTTTCTTGGATCCATATCCAGGAAAAAAAAAAAAGGAGCCTTAAACACCAGGTCTGTGTGTGTCCTGGTCCTGGAGATTCACTCCACTATTGAAGTGTGGGTGTGGTGAGCCTGAGTGTGAGAATGTTCTAGGCCTGCCCCCACAGATTCTAGGGCTCACTGGTTTTCCTTCTGACTTGCAGATAGCATTGTTTCCATGTCTTTACTTGGCTTCCAATCTATGAACCTGCATCCAAACCTGCCTTGTCTTAAAGCATCATAGCACATTACTAACACCATGGCCTTCAGCAATGATCTCATTTTAACTTTTCATCCATGAAGGCCTCATCTCCATCAAGGAGGCATCAGAGAGTAGGAAATCATCGTAACCTTTTTGAGGGGACCCAGTTCGATGATAGCATCCTTTTCGTTCTCACCCAATGTTGTTATTTCACTCCCTGTCATCCACAGGTAGGAGGAAGTAGGCCATGTTCTGCACACACACTTCATGTTGCTGCTGAGTCCACCGCTCTGCTGGTACAAGGCAAACATTTGGAATAGAGGCCAGACCATGATGGGAGCTGGCTGACGTCTTTTAACTGAAGGAAGGAGTGACTTTCACTGTTATGTGTGGACAAGCCCTGTGCCTTGCCCCAGGCCTGGGATCACAGATTGTAGGCCCCAGCTCTACCCATCAGATCAGGAGAAGTTCCCCTACCAAAAAGTGCTAATGAGACATGAAGATATTTTCAGATGGAATCTAGCAATTTGGGCAAGAGATTTGGGCAAGAGTTTTCTGGGCTGTAGCCTAAGGCAGGGCCCTGAGCTCTAGGCAATATGAGCTCATCCTTCCTGTATCTCTGCACTATCTCTCTGTACAACTGTTGCCTGGATACCCCTCAAGCTCATCAGCTGAGGTGGCCTGGTACCAATATTCAGAGAATCAAATTTGGCCCCTGAGGACTGTAACTGTGGAGTGCAGTAATTTAGGAATATTTGGAAGGGCCTAGAAGGCTGTGTGTGCCGTGCAGCCAGACTGCCCTCAGCAGAATGGCGGAAGGCCTGTGTGTGAGAGAGAATACCAGGCACTACACTTGGCCTTCTTATCAGCCTCAAAGCCAGAGACTTTTTGTTTGTTTACTAGTTCAGATAAACTCCCCAGACCCTTGGGAATGCTCCAACAAATCTGCATTCCTACATCCTTTATTCTTGTTTACAGAATGCAGTCAGAACACTTGATAGCTTGTTATAGATAGGAAACAACACTCCACCCTTCCCATCCCTTGCCCCCAAATGTTTCTCCAGGATTCCTACACAGCAACCCCAAGTTTCAGCCAGAGTGAGAAGCTCTATTGTGACTCACTCTTATGAATCTGAACACTCTCACCCAACTCAGTACAGCCATGGAGCCAGGCTTTTTTAATCTTAAATTATATCAGATTGTTTAACAGACGTCAGTATGGGCCGCATGGCCCATAATATATCACCTGGAAACTGGGAATTATGTTTATTTTTCATTGTTACACAAGTGATCCAGTAGGAAATTCTGGTGTTTTGGGCTTTCATGGAAGCAAATTTCATTGATGTGCTTTTCCCAGGCACAATTAGCTTTGTGGCAAACCCGGTTCCCGCGTGGGCTTTTTTACAGTTCCCAGGCCATGGTGGGCAATTCCAACAGCCTTTCCCTTATGATCTATCGAATGGATTCTTCTGCCTCATAGCTCCATGGTACCAGATGGCATTAGCATCTTACGCTGGCCTTGTCTGGCTAATACAGCACCATACAGACACACTAAAGGTCAGGAGGACACCAGATGGTCTGAGTCATCTTATCCTTTGACCCTCCAAGAAAGGCCAGCATGTCCTCTTCACATTTCCATTTCCCTGAGCATGGCCAATGGCTGCATTCATTTGATTCTGCTTTGGCTCCATTATTCCATTTTTACGGAAGTACCATAACCAGTAACCCTTCAACTTCTATTGTCTGATCATTCTTTGTGCATTCTAAATGCCTTACTCGGTAGACAGGCTATATAATGAAACAATGTTTACCTGGTTTTCTTTTTTAAAACAATTATCCTGGGTATTTATTTTTGCTAGTGATTTAAGAGAGTTCTGTAAATCTATGGACCTATGCTTCATAACTGTTCTTTCGAGTCTAGGTGTTGTCAGCCAAGGCTGTCTGCATCTGTGCCTGGCCAGGTGAGGCTTTCACCCCTAGTGAGGGTCTTCGTTATTGCTGGAGAGTCTTTTTTTTTTTTTTCAAGGAAAGGAGTCCCAGTTTTATTGTGCTATTCATGGCCCAGGGAAGGGCCTGGCTGGCTGGGAGGACCTAAGAGACAAACACTGGACAGCAGGATGACTGTGAAACAAGAACACATGGGAACAGAAGCTGGACTCTTCTTAAAGGAGGCAGTAGCTGAGGTATGGTGAGAGCAGACCACGGACAAACAAGGTTACCAGCGGGGAAGACGAGGTCAGCAAAAGCCCAAAGGAAACAGGGATCTGCTTAGGGTCCTGTCACCCTGGGAGAAGTGACCCTGTCTGGTGCCATGGCTCATTTCCAGATCTGCAGTACATGTGTGGTGCAGGAGTCAAGGGCTCACACCTAATGGTAATGGAAGCTCCAGAAGGAGGTGGAGAGTGAGGCCCTGCTCACTGGTCAATGATGGAGCGCTGCAGCACCTGGTTCATCATGTCATCTTCATCCACATCGTAATCCACAAAAGTGTCATAGGAAAAGCGGTGGCGGCATTGGATATGCTCCATGAAGTTGGTGCTGCGGTAGCTGGGGTCTCCCCAGGGCATCGAGGCACATATGGGACAAACCACAGACTTGGTATCCGTGCTGGGTGATCATTGGCAGTGCTCCACAAGTCCTCCCTGATCAAAGTTCTTCTCAGGACAGTAAGGACAAGGAAAGGTGTACCGGTTTGGGACATGTCTTGGCTGAAGGGATGCATCCTTGGTGGTGGCCTTCTTCACACCTTCCATGATGTAATTCTGGTATTTGGAACATGAAGCCACGTGAGCTCTGATCTTAGACAGGACGTAATTCTTACGGAAGCCATGGCAAGAAGTCTCTGTGCTCTCGATCTGTCGCTCAAGCTCCACAGCTCAGACGCCAGGTGCCAGAGCGCTGCGACACACCCCCACAGTCTCCCATTCATACTCGGAGCCTCACATTTCTGACCGACAACAGTTCTGATACATTGAAGACGATGGGACAGTGGAGGTTTGGGAAAAGCTAATGAAGGA